AAGCTTTCTACTCCTGTAAAGAATTAAAGTAGAAACACATAGGGGCAGTTCTACCCTGTCCTGTAAGCTCCGTAGGAGGTGCAATTGATGTGATGGCAGTGGAATATCTGCCACAGCAGCCCTCATGGAGCAGTGGACCACGCAGCAGACTGCCAACAGTAAGGTCAGTTGCTCAACCTCCCAGCCAGTTTGCAGGAGACAGAGGATGCCACCTACTCCTACCACAATGAACCTCAGAAATCCAAAGGATGGCTCAGTCATGTCCTACAAGGTCATTACAAGTCAGAAACGACCCAAGATGGCAATGAGCTTTGATATTGTCAGTAATCCACTTTCCAATTCATTCTTTATGAGGGGAAGACTATTCACCTCCCCAGTCAACAGTTCAAGGGAATTCAAGAGGCTTACTTTGCATGAGGACTCTGTAAAGGGATTTTGGGCTTTCACTGTCATCCATAGCTTTCTGCAAACCAGGTGTTCAGAATTTAACTCGCAACACAGGGAATCCGGGACAGATAAACCTCTCAGGATCAATGATGAGAATAGAGATACCAAGAAGGTAGGGGGAAGGTGGGGGGAGAAAGGGGAAACCAATCACAATGATCTACATATAACCCCATCCTGGGGGATGGACAACAGAAAAGCAGGTGAAAGGAGACGCTGGATAGTATAAGACATGGGGAATTTTTTTAAAATAAATTATCAAGGATTCCTGAGGGAGGGGAGGAAATGAGCCGCTGATATCAAGGGCTCGATTAGAAAGAAAATGTTTTGAAATGATGATTGGAACAAATGTACAAATGTGCTTGACACAATGGATGGATGTATGGATTGTGATAAGAGCTGTAGGACCCCCAATAAAATGATTTTTTTTAAAAGAAAGAAAATGATGGCAACATATTTACAAATGTGCTTGAACACAATGAATGTATGGATGGATTGTGATAAGAGCTGTAAGAGCCCCCAATAAAATGATCTAAAAAGAAAGAAAGAAAGAACTAGTGGGAAAATAAATAAATAAAATGATGTGCTTAACTATGTCTCTGTGATCCAATGGACAGAGGCAGACAAGGTGTCTCGGCGATACACTTGTCTTAGCTTCATTAGGGTGTGTTAAAAAAAAAGTCTAATACAAATAGAGGTTCCCAAGGGGATTTGTTGAGCCAGTTAAATTCAAGGCACAGAGAGGTTCAGCCAATTCTGGAGACTGGTTTTGGGGATCCCAATGTGGTAATCTTGATGGATTTTCTTTTAAAAAATAGAGCTACAGGACTTATTATGAAAAGTTGGCTTTTTCTTTTTATTATTAGTATTGATAACTGCCTTGGTGACGAAAAGGCTAGGTAATTTGCACTGAGGATTTTTTTAATCTAGTATGGTAATGCACCTGTTCATTTTTCAAGAGTAATAGGACGGTCCTGGCTCATTTCACTGGGAAACCTTACTGCCTCCACCCTACAGCCCTTATCTTGCCCTGCAGACTCCTTTTGGTTCCCCAAAACTCACAGAACATTTGCAAAGAACACAGTATGAGTCGCTCCAGGATGCCCACGCATCCATTTCTCACAGTGTTAATTTAAGAGCATAGAATCCTTTGGGGGGAAATGAAAGAGATGGAAACACCACTTTATGAAGTATATAGACCTTGATGACAAACATGTTCAGAAATAAAAGCTTCACATTTTGTTATTTTTGTATAGCAAAGGTTTCTATCATTTCAGAGCAATACGTTTTGACGGAGCCTTCCTTCTCATCTTTGGAATTGGAGCGTTGAGCCCTATCAATTGATTTTTTCCCATCTTCCCTTCCTCCACACCTCAGAAACTCAAATCTGGCCCCGACCTCCTCCTCCACTCCAACAGATAGTCCTCACCACTAACAACTGCGGGAAAAGCAGGGCCTTGCTGGGTTTCCGTACCAGGTAAAAAGCACCTGAGGTTTTTTTGCAATGTCAGGGCCAACTTTTCACTGCTTAAAGAGTTGCTTAAAATATGGGTGTCCTGCAGCCGCTACTGCTATTTAAAAACCGAAGAGAATATTTTAGGGAGAAGGATGAATCTTTCTACTACATATTTTCGAATGAGGATTTTAAATCAACTGTTATATTCTAACACCTAGATAATCATAGGAAATACAGTAGCTCCTATTTTCCTTTGACTTCAGGACTTGTCCTCAAATAGGTTTTTAAAAATCACTAAAAACACTAAAGATAAGTAAAAATCATTCAGATTAGGGTAAAATCCAACATAGGACAACAAGATATTAAGAAATGCTAAGGTTTAGAAACTACTATTATAGAAAGTGCAAGAATACGGGGGTGGGGATAGTATATATGAGCATGTAATAAAGTAAATTTATCCATAAGAATTTCCATTCATTTTTTAAAGTTCAATAGACTTTTTCTATCAAACTCTGAATCATTAAATTGGAGAATGACAGGTGGTCCTTTTGATTTTCGAGAATCAGCTCACAAATTTTTAAATTAAGAAATAAATGGAACTTCTGAAAAAGCAAAAATGTTATCTTTTTCAAGTCACAAGAGGTGAAAACAGAGTGCCCCATGGCCACATTAGTTTAGCCTTTCGTATTGAGTTGGTTGATACAACCGAACAGAACACTACCCAGTCGTGCACCAGGCTCAGGAAGGTGGCAACTTGAGTGGCGCCCTCTTCTAAAGTGGAGACTCAGAACATCTTAATCCTGCGCATTAGCAGAGCAGAGGACCTCTCCAAAACGAGGCGATAACCATATGCACAGAAGTCATAATACATCATATAAGATATCCTGGCCACAAGGGTCATATTAATCAACTGTACCTCAGGAGTGAGGACCAAGAAAGAAAAGCCGCATGTGCAGCTGCAGTCGGAGCAGATGTGAACCAACGGTGTAGATTGTATAAATGGCCTTGCCTTGAGAAGTGGGGCTTTCATTTTTTTCCCATGCAAATTGTAAGCCTCATTTACATTTACTTAATTCAAATAAAGTTCATCTTCCCTAGTGAGGAATAAACTGAACTCTAATCACTCATCTTTAGGAAGACATATTTAACTTCATACTTACTTTTCATTTTCAACTAACCTGCAGCAGGATTATTCAAATTTTTTCAAGGACCAGGGAGTCATAGTGTTGTTTGCAAACTATCTAAAACAATAGTTAAGCTTCCAATCTATTAGCTAAATATATATATATCACATAACTTTTTGCCAACTTAACTCTTTTTGGTTTGTTTTTTGCTAAATATGACCCTGACCCTAGGTTTTCACATATATTTGAGAAAAGTTCTGGGTAGAGGTGGGAGGACTTGGATAAAATAAACCATTATTTTACCAACAAAACTCTTCAGTTTAGGTTCTGTTCTCAGAATAGTTTGAAAAGCATTAAATTGGAAAACTATAAATTCAGCCAGATTTATATGTGCAACTGAGATCAAATATCTTCTTTTTTTTTTCACGATGCTTAAAAATACCAGCATCACCAAGTGACCTCCTCAATGACCAATCATCTGTGCTTTGCTTTTGTCATCTGTCTTTAGAAGGTACAGATTTGGCTCAACTGAAGAGCAATCTGGGGTGAGCAGAGACTCAAAGATAATCAAAGTCTTGTACTGACACACCAAAAAATTTCATGTTGATTTCATCTCCTTAGTCCTGTGCATAATTGGGCTGAGTATTGTGCGTGTTAGACATTCAGATCCCACTTGCCTACAATCTTCACCCTTGATGGCCCTAACTTCTCGAATCCCCCTAATCTTGATTTTCTGAACCACTGTGGCTCTCATCCTGGAAGCCGATTACAGTATCTGAATTGTTTGGTGAGTGTTTCTATCTCTTCTAGCCCCAACTAATGTGTAGCTCAATGAAGGCACAAGTAGACGGTCAGAATTTCTTTTCTTATGACGAACCAACATACTGCCAAGCGAAGTCAACAAACATTGGAGGAGCTTTCCACAGATCCAGGGACACTTGTCAGCGTTCTGAGCTTGTACTGAGTGTGCTTTACTTGCCGTCCAGTGTATTTTCAAAGTGGAGCAAGGCCCATGTGCCAGGGCCCTCGCAGGAGCGCTCTCAGTGATGGGGAGCCAGACGAGGGATTTTAGCAGACCCCAAACTTGCCGCAGTAGACTGTGACTGTCAAGCACAGCCAAAGTGAGTGTCACCGAGGTGACCCAAACCCTCCTTCCATTTCTGAAGCTGTAAATCTCCACAGACTCCTCTTTCTCCAGCAGAGCGGTTCATGGGTTTGAGCCTCTGACCTGGTGGTTAGCTGCCCCAAACCGAATCGCAGCCCCGCCCCAAACAAACTCACTCACTGCCCTCAACACAGCGCTGACCCATAGTGACCCCCAGGATAGGGTCAAAATTACTCCTGGGAGTTCCAGAGACTGTCACTCTCTACTGGAGTAGAAATCCCCATCTTTCTCCTTCAGAGCGGCTGCTGATTCTGAACTGTTGACCTGGGGGTCACCGCCTAACAGGGAACACCAGCCACCAGGGCTCCTGCCAGGGTCCCTTAAAAGTGACTTCAAAGACAGTAAAAAGGAGAGCATGTTTATAGGACCAATGCATTCCAGAATGCTTAATTTGGAAAGAGAAGAGCTTGCTTGTTTTTTCTGTCCTTTTTAATATTTAACTATATATATATATATATATATTTACATACAGCCACTGGGTGACTGTATATTATAAATTTTCATTAAAAGTCGCACCTTGCTTTTTTTTTCTTTCATTTTTATCAATTGAATGTGCCACAAAGTTACTAGAAAATCTGATTCTGAAAAATACATCCATAGATTTAAATTATAAACCCAAGTTTTCTAACAAGGAAGAGACTCAAAAAGAAAAATAAAACCACATCTTACCATATACAGGGGAAAACGTGAAGTAGTTCAGATGACAAATATTATAGGCTTCAATTCTAACATCATTCCAAATTCCCTGGGTAGGAAAGGAAGGCCCCCAGTCCCAACTGAAGGAACATTGCTCCTATAATTTCAAACACAGGGAAGAAAAATAGAGCTTCTGAGGAACATAAAATTTAACCTTGGAAAAGGTTTTCATTTAAAGTATTATATGACTCTATGACATCACATACATGGTCTTCCAGTTACGCCCTCTTAGCATTCATGCCCTTATATAACCCCTTCTGCATGAGTACAGACCAGACCTACTAAATCACTCCTAACCAACAGAAAGCAGAAGTGATAGATGGGAGTCACTTCCAAAATCAGGTCATAAAAGCCGATCTGTTTTGGACACGGTCACTCTGCTGTGGCCAGAGAGGAGGCCAGCCCTTCGTTGTAAGGCAATCCTGTGGAGAGAGCCGTGTGACGTGCTTGGATCCCAATCTTCTGAGGCCTGCCAACACCCACACGAGAGAGCTGGGAATCAGACTGCTCAGTCCTAGTCTAACCTTGAGATAAAAGCAATCCAGTCCTAGCCGACCTGAGTCTCAGGAGAGACGCGGAACCAGGGACCCCCAGCTAAGCCTAGCTCACATTGCTGACTGTGAGAGACTGTCACAATCAATGCTGCTTTAAGCTACGTTTGAGGTAACTTGTTTCACATGACAAGATGACTTAAAGCAATAGCTAACACCTCAACTTATGCAACATAGCTAAGTTGCCAGAAACATTCTAAGAACATAAAACCTAATTAAGAAGAGCTGTGTATGTGTTTTCAAAAGCATATTACACTAAACTACACAGCCGTTTCCTTCTAACCTTCTTCAAGATATTTCTGGACCTAATCTTTGTATTAGGTAGCAAGGGGCAGATACTATCTCCAAATACAAATGACAGGCGTGAGACTCCGGGCTTGGTTTTCAAAGTCAGGTGCCTTCACACTGGACCATGCCAGTCTTCACAGAAATATCAAGATGCAATGCACTTGGGGAGGAAAAGGCTCTCTCAGGCAATAGAGACTTGACAATAGAAATCTGGTCTGGTTCTTGATTTCAGTGACAAAAATCTCTGATCGTCTTTTTAGATAACCTAAGAGGCTGTTTTAAATTATATAGGAGGGAGAAAGAAAACACTTTTTGGATCTATAGCACATGCACTACCGTTACTGACAACATGAAAAAATAAGAGTATTCATTCTCTTCGCATTTGAATCTGGTTAGTCCTGGTTTTAACGGAAACCAGAATGGTGGCAAAGCAGGTTATGTGTTGGATTGCTCACACTCAGATCAGCGGTTAGGACCCACCAGCTGCACTACTCAATGGGAGAAAGATCAAACTTTCTGCTCCCGCAAGGATTTACTGCTGCAGGAATCCTGGGTGGGCTCCTTATGAATCAGAACAGACATTACGACAGTGCGTCTGATTTGGGTTTCAGTCCAATTACAGCTGTGTATGCAAATAGTTAGATCACTGACACGAATCTGGGCAGGCTGCAAACAGGAGGAGGGATCATTCTGACCTCAGTACCTATATAGGTACCATTGTTTTTATGTGCTGCCAAGTCAATTCTGGTCCACAGTTACCGTCCCTAACAGAATAGTACTTTCTATAGACATTTTTAGATTTTGTAATCTCTATAGAAGCAGATATGCGGGTCCTTCCTACCATGAAGCCAACAGCAGGTGAATATGAACTGCCAACCTTTGGGTTAGCAACTGAGCACTTTCACTTTGCACCACCAGTGCATCTTATACAAGTTCTACTAGCAGCCAATGAGTTGATTTCCACTCATAGTGACCCTATCTATTCAGGATTTCTAAGACTGTAAATCTTTATAGGAGCAGACAGCCTCAACTTTCTCCCACGGAGCAGCTGAGGAATAGAACACCAACCTTGTGATTAGAAGCCCAATGTCGAACTCCTATTGAAACTATACATGCTCATATACATATATAAACACATGCATACAGTCTGGTGAGTGTTGAACTGCTGACCACAAGGTTGATAGTTCAACCCCACCAGCTACTCCTCAGAAGAGGAGGCTAGGTGCTTCGGGAAAGATTTATAGCCCCTGAAATCCTATGTAGGGTCACTGTGAGTCAGAATGAGCTCGATAGGAATGGGTTTACTTTTATGAGGGAATATAATTCAACAGTAA